GGGAGGATGTGACTCCCCTCGAGGCAGAAATGTCACCCCCAGGGCTGGTGGCACACCAGGGAAGCAGCACAGATGTGCTGAGACTGGCAGGGGCCAATCTGCAAGGGCAATGCAGATCGGACGGACAGCCCAGTCTGCACCACCACCTGCTCTCACCCAACCCACAGCTTGTGGAGGAGCCACAAGTCCTCCTCAGCCTCCTGGGAGCTGCTCTCTGGGGGGAAGAGGAGCAGAGGCAGCCCAGAAGGCATTACTCCACACATTGCCTGTGGCTTCCCTTGGGTCTTCTGCTCCCAGCTGCTTGCGGAAGCACCACTGCTGCTCCTCACTGCTCTCAGCACCACAACCACTGCGGAGGCATCACTGCCCCCTGCCACCCAGCCCTGGCGACTGTCCCCTGGCTTTGATGGGACACTGCTGGAGCGCTTCAAGTCCAACATCAACCCTTCAAACCCCATCGCCACAAACACTGCACTGCAGACCAGTCCCTGGGACTGCAGCTCCAGAGCTGCTCCAGCAGCAGCTGTGTTCTCCACGCCCCATGGCATGCAGCTATCCCATCTCCTCAGCTTTAAATGAGGAAAAACAGTACAAAAACTACAAAATTTCCCTGCTGTGTTTTCCCATCTGCTTTGCAGTTGGAGGTTTCCTTTCCCTGCTCCTGGATGCCTCTGAACGGATTGCTTCCCTGGGTATTTGCCCAGGGCAGAACCATTCTGGCTTTGGAGCTGGATCAAAGGCCCGTGGAGGGAAGCACCGAGGGTTTAAATACTTTGAAGAGGAGGGCAGGTGAGACCAGTGCTCTGGCTCTCACAAGGGGTGATGCTCCTAAGAGCAGCCAAGCAGAGCAGGGAGAGGGTTTCCTTCAGGCACTGCAGGCTAAGGCAGGGTGTGGTGCCAGCTGATGATGATGTTTGATTAGCTCCTGCCTTCCTGCCCATTTCCCTGCCTGGAAGGGACCCATACCTGCTGAAACTGTGGCAGTGCAGGAGATGCCAAGTAGTGCTGAGGCACCAGGGCTGGGTGATCCTGCTGCTGCCTTACAGTGAGGAGGTAGAAGCTGAGGGTAAAAGGGTTGAGAGGGAAGGTGGAAACATTCCTGAAAGGCAGAAGCTGCATGAAGACCCCAGGAGCACCTGCATGGCCAGGTAGGGTGCCTGGGCAGCCCTGACTCCCCCATCCCAGGCAGTGGCTACTGCAAAGCCAAAACATCCACATCTTTTTTCCAGATTGGGGATCAGGGAGCCAAACCACCCAGCCACTGTTATTTCCTCCCTAATTTTACGTGGGGAATACCCAAGAATGTAGGCAGTTTGGGTGGAAAGGGGGAGCAGAAGGTGCAGGTGCTTCCTTGCCCACCTGTAGCTGATGCCCACCAGCCTGTGGCACACCAGCCTGCATGCTTCCCTGCCAAGAGCTGGAGCAACCCTTCCTGGAATACCGTATGACCCAGTACCATCTGTAAGAGGACTTTTACAGCACATAGCTTTGCTCCAGTAATACCTATGCCCCAGGGGTTCCACAGAGCTCTTGGAACTCCAGAGCCCTCCCCAGAGGGCTGAGCCTGAGGATGTGTTTGCAGAAAGCTTCCATTTGTCTCCCACTCTTACATGGCATTGGAATGCTGTTTCCTGCCAGGACAGGAGGATGCTTCACTTTCCTCCCACCACCCTCCTGGGGCAGTGTGTATGGGTTGCAGGAGCCAGGCCAGGTTGGGATGGAGGAAGCCAGCCTGGTGGGACCACTGCCCAGCTCCCATGACTTGGGGACAGGCTGGTGCCTGGGGTGGGTGGCAATGGGGATGGCTGGGGCTCACCCACTGGGCTGCTCCTGGCAGGAAAGGGGCTTTATGGCAGTGCTTCACAGCTTCTGGCCCTTTCTGTCAAGGCTCAACATGGAGCTTGATGTCTCAAAGAGGATTAACTTCCTAATCCTCTTGTGAGTCTTTCGAGAGAGAGCAGGGAGCCTGCAGAGGAGGAGGGAGAAAGGAGAAGCCAAGGCATCAGCTCAGCCCGTCTCAGACCCCGAAGAATCTTCTCCAAGGGTTAGCTAACCAGCAGCAGGGATTCTGGGGTCCACATGCCAGAGGGCAGGGCCAGGGTAGTTTTAGAGACAAGATTAGTTACAACTTCCTTCCTGGAGGGATTTCTGTGATGCCTGAAGAGGAGCTCTCTCCTGCACTCCCCTCCTTGGAAATGGGTTTAGGAAGCCTCAGCCCCAGTCCTAGCCTGCATGGGGGATGCTCCAAGATGCTCCAAGAGCACTGTCTCCCAGTGTCCCCACAAGAGCCTGCACGTCCCAGCTGGACACTGCAAGCATTTCATGGATAGTGGGGGAGTGCAGGCAGGACAGAGACTCTGCTCAGGCTGGAGATCATGTTTTCTGTGTGTGGCTGTGCAGTGGACGCTCTGGCTTGGCACCGAGAGCTCTTGCACGGTCCTGGGACGCCTCTTTTCGCACACACGGACACACACACGGTGCTTCTGATTACCAGCGCCAGTCATTGCCGGTTGCTCGGAGCCGCCTGGTGTCTGCACAGAGCAGTGACCACCCCGCGTCCAGCCAGGCACCCACTGCCACCCTGCCCCGTCCCCACATCGGTCCCAGCAGGGTCACAGCCCTCAGCCACAACCCCCCGCGCGGACAGGGTCCAGAGCAGGCTGGGGACCGCCGGGATGCTTGGAGCTGGAGCATTCCAGCACCCACCACGGACCTGTGGAGGGTTTCATTGCAGCATGACAACTGACACTCCACTGTGTGTCCCCACCGTGTCCCCCCAGCCCTCTCCCCAGCCACAGAGCTGTGCTCTAGATGGGGAAATATTCGCAGTGGATGTGTTTGGGCTTTTTCCCACAAACCTGTGACTTGGTAGTAATCACAGAGCTCATCCCCTGGGACATCCCACTGGCTCCCTGCACACATGCACAGTTCCAGGTAGGCACCATGCCTGTCTCCCTGGGCACATGGACTGGCAGAGACCCAGGGCTTGTGTGTTCCTTGTGGACACTCAACCAGGAGCTGCTATCCCTGGGCCAGGGGAGAAAAATCTGCAAGGGGAGAAGTTCACTTTAGTACCTACAAGGAATGTGCTTCAGGAAAGCCTGAACTGAACCCAAACTGTCTTCCCTTTGGTCCACCTCCAGAGCCAGCAGGCTGACCATGCCCATGTCCTTGACCCCTGCAGCTTCCAGTGTTGGGTGGGCACGGGCTGTGCCAGGGCCCTGCTGTGACACAGGCGTCTCCTGGGGTCCAGGGATGGCTTCTGAACAGGTTGTGACAGTGCAATGGTCCTGGAAAGGTGAACGGGAGCCCCAGGGCCAGGCTGTGTTTGTTTATCCTGGTGACAGAGCACACAACAGCGAAACAAAAGGTCAGGCCCTGTTGCCCTGGGAGATGGTTTTTGAAGCTGCCTCCCATCTTGCTCGGGCTTGGATGGAGCAGCCCCAGTGCTTGTCATGTCAAGTTATTTTTGTTGTTTTGGCTGGTGATAGGTCCGAAGCAGCTTCCCAAATGCTGTGAGCTTCAGGGGTACAGGACCAGAAGGCCCTAAACAGACCGAGAGAGGAGCACCCAGCCCTGGGGCACTGGAGACAGATCCTGATCCTGCAGCTCCTGCAACCAGCCAGACTCCAACCTGCTTCCTTCATCCTAAGGGACAGGCACATGCAGCTCCTCCAAGCATCCCAAACAGAGGGTGAGTCTGATCCAAACTTCCTTCACCTTTGGCCCATCTGAGTAATGAACAGGCACAAACTTCTTCACACCTTGGCTGGGTTTAAGGTGGGTGATTTGAGCTCACTGTGGGCAAAGGTAGGGGAAGCATGGTCGGGAAGCACTGTCAGGGAGGGCAAGTCCTGAGCAGTCCCTTGCCACATGGATCAGCCCTTGTCTTGCAGCTTCTGGTTGTCAGCCCAAGGAATTTTTGTGTTTACCCAAACCCAAGGGCAATCGCCCGTCACTAACAACACAACATCTCTTGGTCCAGCTGCCCTGGGCCCAGCGAGGGAGCAGGACAGAGCCGGTGGGAGGGCAGCGCTGCCAGGGAAGGACGGACAGTGCTGCCAGGGAAGGACAGGCAGCCCCCAGGACATCAGGACGGAGGTATGAAGTGTGTGAGGTGTGTTCAGCTGGGCTTGTGGTTACACAAAGGGGTCATTGCCCTGAGCTGTGCAGGGGACAGTGTCAGAGCTCCTTCTGGGTTTGGAGCCCTGAATGATCAGCTCAGACTCATTCAGCACACACCATCAAGGATCCGATGGCAGCTTTGGTGGATGCTGCTGGTGAGGGGTGTGTGGCAGCTGGCACATTGCCTCCCTGGTGGTGACTCAGTTTCCCCAACTGTAAAACCCAGCTCCTTGGAGTTTGTACTCTGTGCAGCTCTGAAGGAGGACCCTGACAAGCAGTCCTGGGGGATAGAGGACTTCTTTCCACTGAGCAGGTCTCTACTGCTGAAGACATAAAGCACAACCACTGTGGACCATTCCCATGCCCCAAAACTAGCAGAATTTGGATTCCACTTGTATTCACACTCATCTGCACCATCATGTATTTGTGCTTGAGAGCTCTGCAAGTATTCAGGGGATACCTGAATACTCTGCAGGTTTTCAATAATTGTGGCACTGACACATGCGAAGGACAATTTGGCAGAGTATGCCTTAGCCTCCTTCAGCAGTGCTTAGGGGAAGGGTTCCTTTTACAGGCTCATGACAGCAGGCAAGCATGGGACATGGGGTGATAAAGGTGGAGCAGTGGCTTGCCAACAACTCAGAATGGCCAAGTGTGTCCATTATAATATTGATTGCAATTACATTTAAGGCAAAATGAACTTCTGCTTCTCCAGGCTATGATCTGGTCTCTGTCACATCAGAGTGAATCCAGACTAGCACCAACACCTTGACCCTGGGTAGACAGCAAACACCCCAGCATGTCCCCAAAGGTGGCAGCAGGCAGGAACAGTAACAGTTCCACTGCTTCCCCCAATCAGGGGCAAGAGATTTGTCATGGACTACACACTGGAGACCAGCCAGCAAAAGGAGAAGCTTCTGAAAACCATCTACAGCCTCCAGCTGAAGTCATTTGCCACACTGCAGGCAGCCAGCCCACTGCTGAGCCGCCAGCGTGGCATGGGCATGGTGACACAGCACCAAGTCCACCAGCTGGCAGATAAGGCCAAAAGCCTGTGTGGAGATCTGGACAACATCAAGAACCTCCTCCGCTACTGCCAGGATGACCTGGTCCAGCGGATCCCCAACCCCACGGGCAGCTGCTATGGGGGTGTACGCGGCGTCCACTGCTCCCGGGATGGCTCCATCTATGTGACAGCTGAGAGTGCTCCTTGGGTTCACGTCCTCAGCAGCACAGGCCACATGCTGCAGGCCCTGCCTTGCCAGCAAACCGGGAAGGGAGGTGGCACTTTCTTGCCAGAAGATGTGACTGTGACTCACTCGGGAATGGTGGCTGTAGCCGACATGGTGAGTGAAGCCATCTGGGTCTTCAACCCTCACAGTGGCCACTCCAAGGGGGAATGGATAAAGATCAGAAATGTTGGTTCCCCCAGGGGTATTGGAGTAGACTCCATGGAAAAGATCCTGGTAGCAGACTATGCACAAGGCCAAGTGCACAGCTTTGCTCTGGACCATGCCTTCAAGATGCTCAATGTCCACTCAGTCCCCAACCTGCAGGGCCCTCGCTACATCAGTCCAGCACTCAACGGAGGCTTCGTGGTGAGCGAGGAGTGTGGAGACGTCAAGGTCTTCACGAACAGCCGTAAGCTCCTCTGCTCCCTCAGCAGCAAATACAAGCACCATTTTGGTAACCCTGCTGGGGTGTGTGTGGACATGGATGGCAGCATCCTGGTGGCAGATGAGCAGCACCGAACAGTCCACTTGTTCCCAAAGCATGGATCTCCGATCTGCCTGGTGTCCTCAGGGCTGAGGAGGCCTGCTGGCATGGCTTGCTCCTCCTTCGGGCACCTCTTCGTGGCAGACACAGGAGACAACTGTGTCAAAGTCTTTAAGTACCGTGTGAGGGCCCCTTAGAGCCCTACTAACCCTGGGGCACCGCGGGTGCCCCCAGCCCAACGCCCAGGTGGGGAGGGAAGTTGGTTCTACTGCAACCCCACTGAGCTGTGGGTCTGCTGGTGAGCTGTGAGCTCCACCGCTCCCATGGAATCATATCCAAGAATCATGGAATGGTTTGGGTTGGAAGAAACCTAAAAGACCACCTCATTCCAATCCCCTGCCATGGGCAACCACCAGGTTGCTCCAAGCCCTGTCCAACCTGGCCTTGAACACTTCCAGGGATGCAGGGCATTGTCCCCAGACTTGTCTGCCTGATGGTTCTCCAGCTACTCCAGATGACAGAAGCAAGGACCAGACCAGCTTTGAACCCACCAGAGTAGCTAAAGGATGACTGAGCTACTCAGCACTGGCCACGCATTGGTGTCCCATCTAACTCACCACCACACCATTGAATCCTTGTGTGTTTTTGGAGAGCTACTATAAATATTTCTCTTCCCTGCACACAGTTTTAATGCACCGTGATTCCACCTCCCTGATGTCAGAGTATGACCAGAAGGGTAAGACCAGGCCAGAGGTGGCAGCCAGGGTCTGCCATGGAATCAGAGTCATGGAATGGTTGGGGTTGTGAGGGACATTAAAGCTCAGCTCATTCCAATTCGCTGCCATGGGCAGGGACACCTTCCACTAGACCAGGTTGCTCCAAGCCCACTCCCTGTCATCAGGTCTGCACTGACTCATCCCCAGGCTGTTAGGGAAAGTTTTGGAACCACAAAATGGTGGTTCCACAGTGCCTGCAGCAGACTTCAGGAGACTGGTACGATGAAGGTAACTCCTCCTGTGCTGCATTCCTGACCTCTACAGGGAAGCAACGACCACTGCATGGAGTAAATTCCCTATGGGAATGTGGACCACACCGGCCCACATCCCGCTGCCCTGCTCTCCCCTGCGGAGCGGGGCCGGCAGCCTCGGCCCTGCCCTTAGCAGGCCGGGGAAGGCAGGCAGGGTGTGCTAGCACAGGGAAAGGCGTTTTCCTCTCCCCGCTGCAGCTCTCATTGCAGTGCCAAGTGACTCCTTGGCCTCTGCTGGTGCCCGAGACCCACGTCTGTCACCACCTCCTGCTCCAAACGAACCCTGGAGAGAGCCCTTGCTCCCTCCTGGCACAGGAGCAAGTGCTGCAGCTGATGGAAAGGCTGTGGTGCCCTCCCAGGCTCCTCTCCCTGCACAGCAAGGCAGCCCGGAGCGATCCCAGCAGCAGGGAGCGAGTCTGTGTGGTCTGCAGGAACAGGGATGGGCCTGTCCTGTCCCAGGAACGATAGCTCCCACGAAATCAAACCTTCCCACACCCTATTTCAAATTGTGTGGCACTCAACAACACAGATGAAACCCAGCGCCTTTTCTCCAGCCCAGTCCCTCCTCCACTGCCGCCCTCCCTCCCAGGGCACTCCATCCATTGCCCAGAGTGCCCCGGAGCTCTCTTGCCCCAGCCCACGGCCCGAGCACAGGAGGGATAATCCCGGGCACATCTGCACCCCTGGAGCCCTGCCGGAGCAAGGGGTACCGAGGCGGTGGGGATGGGGTCCCAGGGGGGCAGGTGAGT